AATACCCCTTAAAATAAAAGGATTCCATAGAATGGAGCCATGGCATTTAAAGCAATGCCAAACTGCATTATTTCTGCAGTGTAGATTATAACTCGGGAATAATAGGCCTCCAACGGCCAGAGAGTGATGCCAAATACGCGCAGGAAGCTGAGTTGCCATTATAGTTCTCAAAATATTTGTCGTCGCTGTGTGTCTTCAAGCCATTTCAGGCTTACAGCGACCCCATCATGGAGTGTTATTGTCAGGTTTCTTCAGAGGGGGTTTGCCATGACCATCCTTTGAGGTTGAGAGAGTGTGACATGCCCAAGTTCACTCCAGTGGGTTGGCATGGCTGAGCCAGGATTCGAACCCGTCTCCAGTCATAGTCCACTATTAAAACCACTACACCATGTTGGAGTATGGTGTAATTATGCTGTTTAGTAATTACCTATTATAATGGCAGTGAATATAAACATAACTCTACAGATTTAGGTCCAGTCCATTTTAAAAGCCTTCCAGGTTGTCAGCCATTACTCCATCTTGTGACAGCAATTTCAGTTTTTGTGGGAATGCTGTTGTTGTGTACCTTCAAGTCGTTTCCGACTTATGGTGACCCTAAGGCAAGCCTATCATGGGGTTTTCTTCGCCAGTTTCTTCAGTGGGGGGTTTGCCATTGCTATCCTCTGAGGCTGAGAGAGTGTGACTTGCCCAAGGTCACCCAGTGGGTTTCGATGGCCAAAACAGGAATTGAACCCTGGTCTCCAGAGTCAAGAGTCCAGCACTCAAACCAGTTTTCAGTGGTTCACATTACCTATGGGACTGCCTTCTTCTGTATCCATAGATTCAACCGTACACAACTTGAAAATATTTTTAAAAATTAATTCCAACAACCAAACCTTGACTTTACCATTTTATATAAGGGCTGCAACAGCGCAGTTAGCCTGGCATAGTGGTTTGAGTGTTGGACTATGACACTGGAGGCCAGTGACCCTCTGGGTGACCTTGGGCAAGTCACACTCTCTCAGCCTCAGAGGAAGGCAGTGGCAACCCTCCTCTGAACAAATCTTGCCAAGGAATCCCTGTGATAGGGTTGCTGTAACTCAGAAATGACTTGAAAGCACAAGACAATAATCTTAATAAACCATTGTATATAATCGGACATGAGCAGCCACGGATTTTGATATCCCTGGTGAGTCCTGGAACCAAATCCTAGCAGATATAGAAGTTGTGTGGCTTCAAGTTATTTCCAATTTATGGCAACCCTAAGGCATATTGTAAGGAACATATTGAAAGGAAAGCAGGCTTGGACATGGAAGAGGGAGGAGTGAAAATAGGAGGAAGGAATATCAACAATCTAAGATATGCAGATGACACCATAATACTAGCAGAAAACCTCACAGACCTGGAACAACAACTAAGGAAGAACAAAGAAGAAAGTGCAAAGGCAGGCTTAGAATCCTAGAGTTGGAAGAGACCACAAGGGCCATCCAGTCCAACCCCATTCTGCCATGCAGAAACTCAAAATCAAAGCATCCCTGACAGATGGCCATCCAGCCTCTGTTTAAAGTCCTCCAAAGGAGACTCCACCATTCTCCAAGGAAGTGTCTTCCACTGTCGAACGGCCCTTACTGTCAAGATGTTCCTCCTAATGTTGAACTGGAATCTCTTTTCCTGTAGTTTGAATCCATTGCTCTGGGTCCTAGTCTCTGGAGCAGCAGAAAACAAGCTTGTTCCCTCCTCAATATGACATCCCTTCAAATATTTAAAGAGGGCTATCATAGTCCCTCTTAACCATCTCTTCTCCAGGCAACATACCCAGTTCCGTAAGTCATTCCTCAAAAGGCTTTATGGTTTCCAGACACTTCACCATTTTAGTCGCTCCCCTCTGGACACACTCATTTTTCAACATCCTTTTTGAATTGTGGTGCCCAGAACTGGACACAGTATTCCAGGTGGAGCCTGACCAATGCAGAATACAGTGGCACTATTATTTCCCTATACTATACCTCTATTGATGCAGCCTAAAGTCACATTGGCCTTTTTAGCTGCGGCACCACACTGTTGACTCATGTTCAACTTGTGGTCTACCTGGACTCCTAGATCCCTTTCACACAGTCTTGTTAAGCCAGGTGTCCCCCATCTTATATCTATGCATTTCAAGTGCAGTACCTTGCATTTCTCTGTGTTGAAATTCATTTTGATAGCTTCGGCTCAGCTTTCTAATCTATAGAAGTTAGTTTTGAATTTTGATCCTGTCTTCTGGGGTATTAGCATTTCCTCCTAATTTGGTGTCTTCTAAAAATTTGAGAAGCATGCCCCCTATTCCTTCATCCAAATAAGTGATAAAGATATTGAATAGCCCTGGGTCCAGACAGAACCCCACTGGACACCCCACTGGTCACTTCTCTCCAGGATGAAGAAGAGGAGCCATTGCTGAGCACCCTTTGGGTTTGGTCACTCAACCAATTACAAAACCAGTTACAAAACTACCTCCTCCTCAAGTGAAGAGCAATGAATGGGTTTCATAGGACAAAATACCTGTTTTTTAAACAATTCCCAGAAGCTGCCAGCCAGTCAGCCTGCTTCCTTGGGAAGTCCAAAACACATTTCCTCCCACGGTCTGAATGTACATGATGCATGATGCCTTCATACTGAAGAGGACCAAACCCTTGTAGGAGAAAAAAGAAATTTGGTTAGCCAGTTTTTATGCATCCAAATGCATCTGAGGAAGTAGACTTAAGTCTATGGAAGACTTCCAAGACTTCCAAACCATCCAAGATGGTTTGCTGCCTGAGGCAAAGCATTCCTAGAACAGATCATCTTCCTGTCCCAAAGTCAAGGTGCATTAATACACTACTAGGCCAGTGGTCTTCTTTTGGCACTCCATGTAGAAAATCTGCCAAGCCCTCTGCAGTCTCATGGTCTGGGGCCACTTAAATCATACTTATATATCTGTACAGTAAAAATGCAGCCATGATAAATGAAATAAGTAACACCTTGTTGCCCTTTTATTAGGCTCAATATTAGCTGCCTGATTTGGCAAACTCACTCACCATAGATAGCCACCATTGGTATATATGCCATTTTGCAATCAGTCCTGGGCTGCATCCGCACTGCAGAAATAAAGGAGTGCGACACTGCTTTAACTGCCATGACTCAATGATATGGAATTCTGGGATTTGTAGTTTTGTGAGATATTTAGCATTCCTTGTCATAAAGCTCTGGTGCCCCCTCAAAGTACAAATTCCAAAATTTCATAGCACTGAGCCATGGGAGTTAAAGTGGTGTCAAACTGCATTATTTCTGCAGTGTGGCAGCAGCCCTCGATAGTTTTGTCTTTATAATTTATTTCATTTCATTTCTATGCTGCCTTTCTCCCAGAAAGGGGTCCAAAAGACTTTAACAAAAGCCTTTGTAATACTAAAATAAATTAAGGCTTTTGCTGGCCTTGGTGTTTTCTCTTATCCAACACTGCCGTCTTCTGAACAATTTGGAGCACCGCACCAAAGTTGCCACTGTGAAATGAACAGGCTTCCTGACAGGTTAGAAAACCGAAAGCAGGGGTAGGCAACCTTTTTGAGCC